GTGGGGCAAAAAAGTATTGAGTCAGCCACCAATTGTGCAAGTTCTTCCACTTAAAAAGATGAGAGAGGCCTGTAATTGGCATCATAGGTAGACCTCAACTATGAGAGACAAAATGAGAAAACAAACCCAGACAATCACATTGGCTGATTTGGAAAGAATTTATTTGCAAATTATGATGGAAAATAAGTATTTGGTCACCTACAAACAAGCAAGATTTCTGGCTCTCACAGACCTGTACCTTCTTCTTTAAGAGGCTCCTCTGTCCTGCACTCATTACCTGTATCAATGGCACCTGTTTGAACTTATCAGTATAAAAGACACCTGTCCACAACCTCAAACAGTCACACTCCAAACTCCACTATGGTGAAGACTAAAGGACACCAGAAACAAAATTGTAGACCTGCACCAGGCTGGGAAGACTGAATCTGCAATAGGGAAGCAGCTTGGTGTGAACAAATCAACTGTGGGAGCAATAATTAGAAAATGGAAGACATACAAGACCACTGATAATCTCCCTCGATCTGGGGCTGCACGCAAGATCTCACCCCGTGGGGTCAAAATGATCACAAGAACGGTGAGCAAAAATCCCAGGACCACACGGGGGGACCAAGTGAATGACCTGCAGAGAGCTGGGGCCAACGTAACAGGCTACCATCAGTAACACACTACGCCGCCAGGGACTCAGATCCTGCAGTGCCAGATGTGTCCCCCTGCTTAAGCCAGTACATGTCCGGGCCCGTCTGAAGTTTGCTAGAGAGCATTTGGATGATCCAGAAGAGGATTGGGAGAATGCCATATGGTCAGATGAAACCAAAATAGAACTGTTTTGGTAGAAACACAACACGTCGTGTTTGGAGGAGAGAGAATGCTGAGTTGCATCCAAGGAACACCATACCTACTGTGAAGCATGGGGGTGGCAACATCATGCTTTGGGGCTGTTTCTCCGCAAAGGGACCAGGACGACTGATCCATGTACAGGACAGAATGAATGGGGCCATGTATCGTGAGATTTTGAGTGCAAACCTCCTTCCATCAGCAAGGGCATTGAGGATGAAACGTGGCTGGGTCTTCCAACATGACAATGATCCCAAACATACCGCCTGGGCAACGGAGTGGCTTCGTAAGAAGCATTTCAAGGTCCTGGAGTGGCCTAGCCAGTCTCCAGATCTCAACCCCATAGAAAACCTTTGGAGGGAGTTGAAAGTCCGTGTTGCCCAGCGACAGCCCCAAAACATCACTGCTCCAGAGGAGATCTGCATGGAGGATGGGCCAACATACCAGCAACAGTGTGTGCCAACCTTGTGAAGATTTACAGGAAACGTCTGACCTCTGTCATTGCCAACAAAGGATATATAACAAAGTATTGAGATGAACTTTTCATATTGACCAAATACTTATTTTCCACCATAATTTGCAAATTCTTTCCAAATCTGCCAATGTGATTGTCTGGATTTGTTTTCTCTCATTTTGTCTCTCATAGTTGAGGTCTACCTATGATGCCAATTACAGGCCTCTCTCAGCTTTTTAAGTGGGAGAACTTGCACAATTGGTGGCTGACTAAATACTTTTTTGCCCCACTGTAGATCCCATTGCTGAGGACATGTCTCCGCCTCCTTATCATTCTGTCCATTCACTTAAAGGGTAACTCCACGTTCATTAGAAAAAAATAAAAATTGGCAAATAAAAAAAAATGTAATATAGCGTATACAATTGTGACACAAGTCATATTGTAATTTAATGTTATTATAAACAACCTTTTCAATTTGCATCCACTGATTGGCTCACTGGTTTACTCTGAAGTCTGCACTGAGAATTTGGGCATCCCCTGCAACAGAAATGTAATTTTTTTGGTAGATACTGCCAAAGGGAAATCACATCTAAGTCTAGGTTAACACCTATGTGTTTTCCGTTGCGTTTTGCAGAAACACACAGCAGTCCATTTAACATGATTTCCTATGGAACAGGTTCTTATCGCTGCATATTCACATGGTGTGTTTTTTTGGAAAAAGTCAGACTTTTTTTAAACTCAAAACATTGCGTTTTTGGTTCTATAGACTTTAATGGAGATGCTGCAGAAAAGCATGTAGTGCGTTTTTGATGTGTTTTGCATTTTAATCTGCCCAGCAACAAGTTGGCAAAAAACTTGCAAAACGTGTCAAAAGCGCATGTGCAAAAATGCACTGCAAAAAAGCACTGCAGAAACGGATCAAACACAAACTGCATAGGTGTGAACCTAGCCTTAACCACTTCCAGACACTTTTACCCCCTTCCAATCCAGGCCAATTTTCAGCTTTCAGTGCTATCACACTTTGAATGACAATTGCGCGGTCATGCAACACTGTACCCATATGAATTTTTTACCATTTTTTTGAGACAGATAAAGCTTTATTTAGGTGGTATTTATTCACCACTGGGATTTTTTTTTTTTTTTTTGCTATGTAAATGAAAGTCCAAAAAGTTTGAAAAAAAAGTGTTTTTTCTTTTAAAATTTTGCAAATAGTATTTCTTTTTTTTACATTTTTTTATTTATTTTTTTACATATTGTCACCCTAGCAGTACAGTTTCACCATGGTGACACTCTACTTGTGGGGGGGGTGATGATTTTTTTTTTTTTATTTATTTTTTTTATTTACACTGTTTGCATTTACACCCATAAAGGCTGTAAAAGCAATAATTTCTCCTTCTCTGGCTGCATTCTTGCAGCCATTGAGAACTACTGTGTGAGCTGTGATTGGTCACAGCTTGTCACATGGTGCAAGGCTGTTGTGAATAGCCTTGTACCATGTGACCTCGGTGATCCTTCACAGATTTCACACGTAGTAAGCAATGATGTCAGAAGTGACATCTTGCTTACTACTCTGCATGTGATCACTGATTGGCCAATCAGTGATCACATGTTCGGTACCTCGCACAGAGGTCCCGTCCGACGATCGGTGTTCCACTGTGTCTAGTAGGACACTCGTATATGGCACTGATAGGCAGCACTGACTGGCACTGTAAGGTGACACTGACTGGCACTGTAAGGTGGCACTGTTAGGCGGCACTGATGGTTGACACTGAAAGGCAGCTCAGGTGGGTACTGATATGTGGCACTGATGGGCACTGGCAGGGGGCATGGATGAGCACTGAGAGCTGGCACTGATGGACACTGACAGGTGGCGCTGCTGGGGCTACACTGATCATCAGGGCACACTGATCATTAGTGCTCTGATGATCAGTGTAGATGTCCCCTCCAAGAGATGCCGATTACCGGCTCTCCTCTCCTCTGTCAGCGTGACCGCTCGTGGGGAGAGAAATGCCGATAACCGGCATTTCACTGTTTACATGCAATCAGCTCTGATTGGACACAGCTGATCACATGACCGAGCCGACATCTTCGGCTCTTTCCGTGGATCGGTGATCCACTGTGTCCGAGGGACACAGCGCACCGCCAATCGCCGCGCTGCGCACTCCAGGAGCCACGCATGCGCGGTTAGAATGGGAGGACGTCATATGACCAGAACGAGAGAACCGCCTTGCGTCTGTCATATTGCTATATGGTGGGCGGCAGGCGGTTAAGCAATGTCTGGGACTTTTAAAAACAAAAGGGCCTTTATGGCGACTTAAACGTTTAATAGTTTTAACATTGCGCTGTTTATCTCCTCCGCCCCTCCCTGCCTCTCTCCAGCACCACACCCGGGGACTAGAAGGGAGGGGAGAGACCGTGCAGTGTAGTGAGCACCGATTGGCTGCTCCTCAAGAAAGGGGAGTGTCCGGCTTATCCTTTATCCATTTTGCTGCCAGAGCTGTTTTTGCGTTTATTTGCACACGTTTAAAAAATCATTTAAGGCCTGAAGATGACACAAAAACCCCCAAACATATATTTTCTGAAATCAGAGATCCTAGAGAAAAAATAGCAGTAGTTCCAATTTTGTATGTAACATGATATTATCACAAAGGTCTAGGAAATGCACAATTTCAGTAAAAATACACTCAAGTTAACATTAGGGCACAAAAAGCAATAAATGATCCAATTTTTTTGTAAAATATAAAAGACGAGGTTGCAGCGAGTAAATAGATATCCAACATGTCAAACCTTAAATTTACGTGCGCTCGTGAAATGGCAACACAAATGTAGTACCCTATATTTTCTATAGCTGACGCTTTTGAAGCCCCTATAGGTCATTAGTTTACAGTAGTGTACGGAAGGAGGTCTGTTGCTAGAATTATTGCTGTCATATGTAACGTGTATCACATGCAACGTTTTCATGTGTAGATGCCTGAGTGTGTGCTTTTCTGTTTGTGCATGCGTACGTATGTGGGGTTGCCTTGAAAAATTGGGGGGGGGGGGGGGTTTTATATGCTTGGGTATAGCTTCCATTTTAAAAAAGAAAAACATTTTTTGACGTAACTTTTTTTTTTTTTTTTTTTTATCGCATAAGGGACAAAAAGTTCCCTATGTGATGATTTTTTTGTGACAGGTTCTCTTTTTTCAGACATCCAAGGTCTAAAAGACCCTGGATGTCTCCCCTGTGCTCCACTGAATGTAATGCAGTGCACTTCGCACTGCATTACCTTATTTCCCGGCCTCAATGACCAGGAATGTGTCAAACTGGGACCCGGAAGTGACAGCACATCACATCGGGTCAGGAGAAGTAGGGGAGGGAAGCGGATGTGTCTGCTCTCCTCCCTCCCCTATACCACATCCCGCCAGCGCACACTGAGCCAGTCCCGGGCCTGCAGATGGGCAAGCGTGCAGGGGGGAGAGGCTGACGTTGTGGGCTGTGTGGAAGCAATTGGGTGGCAGCGCTGCCGCACAAATGCTTCCACCTGATAGATGAGCTCTGCTGCTTACCTTCAGTAGGGCTGAAGGCAAAAAAAAAAAACCTACCTGCCGGTGCCCGGAACTACATGTCCCAGGCGTCGGGCGATAGGAATTGCACATCCCTGTATTTGGTACGGTGTGTTTTTTTTTTTTTTTGTCAATGCTGTGTAATAACTCTTATGTCTTCTCCTTGTAGGCTGTTACGGTGTAGATGGGGAAAGTGACTCCATTATGAGTTCGGCCTCGGAGAACTCCACCGAGCCCTGGTTCTGTGATGCTTGTAAATGCGGAGTGACCCCCAGCTGTGAGCTCTGTCCAAACCAAGATGGTATCTTCAAAGAGACTGATGCTGGACGGTAAGATGGTCATTTATGACACGCAGCTTTACTCCTAGGAAGTGTGACCTCCTTTCTCTCCCGCAAAGCATAGCGAAGAGTATTTTCTTGCATTTAGGTTGTGACAATTACGCATACTGGCAACAAAAGCAGCTAAGTAAGGAAGGTATTTGGTTTACATTGAACAAAGTACAGGTTCGTTTAGAGATGACTGTTTACACACACTCCTGGCTGCTATGGCAGCTGTAATTATGTTGGCTATTAGATGGCAGTGATCTGGTGGCTGTACAGCAGCCTGATTGCTTCCACACACCACAGCAACACTGTATCCCATCCAGTGCCTCCCCGCCATGTTTCCCGTGCTCTGAACTCCCACCAGTGGACCCAGGACTGGCATGACAGGTGCTGCCAGGTACCTACTAAGAACCTGTTGAATAAACGACTCTGCCTCATTCTGCTGTCGTCGTCTCTGGCCTCTCAGTAGAGCGCAGTCTGCCCTCACTGGAGAGCAGGTCAGTCTTTTAGACCCCTAATGTCTCATTAAAGAGAATCTGTTACCAAAAGAACATCCTATAGGGGACTTTTTGTCCCCTATGTGATGAAGAATAAAGTTTTGAGTGTGAAAATAAAAGTGTCAAAAATTAAAATTACCTCAAGCACTTAAACTCACCTCCCTCAAAATATTTTGAGCCCCACATACACACACATACAAATGTAAATGCACATTCAGGGGTGCCTACACATGACAACATCGATTGCACTGTGTGTTACATATTGCTCCTCACGCTGGAGTGAGAGCAAAAATTCTAGGCCCATTATTCATGATTCATGGTTAAACTAAAGAACCGTAGAGGCTTTTAGGGCATATTTACACTTGCTTTGATTTCAACACAATTAAAGTGCCTACTGCTCGATGTCTGTGATGCTTCGATTATCTTTTTTTGAAGCATTAATAAAGCTTGGCAAATGCCCTGTGTCTGTGCTGATTTTCTTTGTTTGTTTTGTTTTTAAAGGGGTCCAGTAGTACCCCCATTCAGCAAATCCCCAGTTCATTAGTACCCCCATTCAGCAGCTCTCCAGCTCGTTGGTACTCTTGTTCAGCAGATCTCCTGCTCAGTAGTACCTCCAGCTCTGCTGATCCCTCATTCACAAGTAACCCCCAGCTCTGCTGATCCCTCATTCACTAGTAACCCCCAGCTCTGCTGATCCCTCATTCACTAGTAACCCCCAGCTCTGCTGATCCCTCATTCACTAGTAACCCCCAGCTCTGCTGATCCCTCATTCACTAGTAACCCCCAGCTCTGCTGATCCCTCATTCACTAGTAACCCCCAGCTCTGCTGATCCCTCATTCACTAGTAACCCCCAGCTCTGCTGATCCCTCATTCACTAGTAACCCCCAGCTCTGCTGATCCCTCATTCACTAGTATAACCCCTAGCTCTGCTGATCCCTCATTCACTAATAACCCCCAGCTCTGCTGATCCCTCATTCACTAATAACCCCCAGCTCTGCTGATCCCTCATTCACTAGTAACCCCCAGCTCTGCTGATCCCTCATTCACTAGTAACCCCCAGCTCTGCTGATCCCTCATTCACTAGTAACCCCCAGCTCTGCTGATCCCTCATTCAGTAGTAACCCCCAGCTCTGCTGATCCCTCATTCAGTAGTAACCCCCAGCTCTGCTGATCCCCATTCAGTAGTAACCCCCAGCTTGCTGATCCCTCATTCAGTAGTAACCCCCAGCTCTGCTGATCCTCTGGTTTTCTGATCCTCTTTCTTCAGTCCCCACTCACCGCTGCTATATTTCCCCCACTCTGCGCACAAAATGGAACATTGCTAGTTTCCGATCACCCAGCTCTACTAATCCTCTGCCTCTTAGTCCTCTTTCTCTGGTCCCTGCTCACCTTCTGCCATAGCATTCCCATGTGTGTGTGTGTGTGTGTGTGTGTGTGTGTATATATATATATATAGAGAGAGAGAGAGAGAGGGATATGATAGATAGAGAGAGAGAGAGAGGGGGAGAGAGAGAGATACGAGAGAGATGAGAGAGAGATGAGAGAGAGAGAGAGAGATGAGAGGGGAGAGAGAGAGAGAGAGAGATAGAGAGAGAGAGAGAGATGATAGAGAGAGAGAGAGAGATGATAGAGAGAGAGAGAGAGAGAGAGAGAGATGATAGATATATATATATATATAGAGAGAGAGATATGATAGATATATATATAGAGAGAGAGAGAGATATGATAGAGAGAGAGAGGGGGGGATAGAGAGAGAGAGAGAGAGAGAGGAGAGAGAGAGGATAGAGAGAGAGAGAGGATAGAGAGAGAGAGAGAGAGAGAGAGGATAGAGAGAGAGAGGATAGAGAGAGAGAGAGGATAGAGAGAGAGAGAGGATAGAGAGAGAGAGAGGATAGAGAGAGAGAGAGGATAGAGAGAGAGAGAGGATAGAGAGAGAGAGATGATAGAGAGAGAGAGATGATAGAGAGAGAGAGATGATAGAGAGAGAGAGATGATAGAGAGAGAGAGATGATAGAGAATAATGAGAGAGAGAGAGATGAGAGAGAGAGAGAGAGAGATGAGAGAGAGATGAGAGAGAGAGAGAGAGAGATGATAGAGAGAGAGAGAGATGATAGAGAGAGAGAGATGATAGAGAGAGAGAGAGATGATAGAGAGAGAGAGGGATATGATAGAGAGAGAGAGAGATATGAGAGAGAGAGAGATATGAGAGAGAGAGAGAGATATGAGAGAGAGAGAGAGATATGAGAGAGAGAGAGATATGATAGATAGATACAGTATGTGTGTGTGAGATATATATATATATATATATATATATATAAAAATAAACTAAAAGTGACTGCTGATGATGTCTTCCTTTGCTTGCTGATGCTTCCTGGGATATATCATACTTGCAATACCTCCAAAACAAAGCGAAGATAAAGCTGAATAAAAGCCCCTCAAAAGCTGCAGGTACTGCTAGCGAGCATTGTCATAGATTTCTATGGAAGCTTTGGAGATGCTATGAAGCACCAAGAAAGCGATACGGGGTATAATTTTTGAAACAAAGCAGATGCAAAGTGTAAACAGGACTGTAAGGTAACCATATTATTTAGTGACAGGTACTTTGATTGGCATTCAGAGCACTTTAAAAAAGCGTGTCCAATGCTACATTTTGAAGACAGTGAAATGAGCCCTTAAAGCATCACCTATAGAAAATTTAGGGTTCTGAAGTTTGTCACCATTTTACCAGTGCACACAATTTTAAAGTTCCACTTTAACCAGCTGCTCTGACATTTTTGCCATCAAGCAGCTTGGCCTCATAATCTCACTGAAAACAAATGGATTTCTATTGGACGTTGACGAAATCTCAGCAATTCAGAGCCCTGGCAGCCTCAGCTCTGGTGGCCGCCCGGTCTTCAGGCTGAAAGTGGAATGAAGCGGGATATCAGGTGAAAACTTTGCTCTTATAGCTCTAGGTTTACTTCTAGAGTCACTTTTTGATTTAGTTGACCTCAGTAGAATACATCGCTCCTTGCAGGCCCATTGTCTTGTTTGCATGTCACCAGACAGCCGTTTTTATGAAAGCATAAGTCACTCCTTGGTGACAAATTCCGCTCCTCTATTGCTGTCTGATTTAACATCTGTCATCCTCGCCGTAAGTGAAATAGATGAGAAAGTAAAAAGGGGGATTATTCTTCTCTGATTACCCAATTTGTCTTAATTACAAGATTTTGGACCGCGTGCCACCAAAACAAGCGAGAGAGGAACAGCTGAAATCGCATCTGCGCTCAGCTTTGGAAGACGCTTCCCGTTTTCCTCATTTGAGAAAGTCACGAGTGGCAGTTTTTCTCTGAGGCAGCCAAAACAAAAGGCAGAGAACTCTCGGGCACTTTAAAGACAGCAGAAGCAGATGTGCAAACCTCTGTTTGGTCCACTGAAAGTTTGCAAAACTTTCTTTTAAACTGTTATGTGCAATTATCTGTAATCTCCTTTTTGTATTAGATTATAACTAAAGGAAGAACATTTGCTTTTTTTTTTTTTTTTTTTTTCCTTTTAGTTTTGGATAGTGGAGAGGGATTAGAACATCTGTCAGTTTTTATTACTGTCTGTGTCCCTGTTAGGGAGATTCGCCATCTCTCTCTTGGTCCTGTTTACTGATATTAAAAGTGAAAGGGAAAAACATCCCAAATTTTGGTTCACAGTCATAAAGAGGAAATCTAATGGGGACACTAGTTCTGATGACAATCTGGGATTTTGCACACTTTTGGAAGGATTTCTTCTCTCTTTCTGTTTTGGCTATGGGACAGGAAGTATAGGAAAATCTCCCCAATGGGAAATTACAAAAAAAACCTGAGCGGGGTCATAACCCTCACTCTATCCAAAAAAAAGAAAAAAAAAAGGTTTTGCCTTTACTTCTGCTATAACTGCTTCTTGCCCATCATACATATACAGTATATATTCTCAGATGTGAAGGGTGACATCTCGGTCATCCCTGCAGCAATGGCCAAGTTATCATTTCTTGGTGCCGGTGATTTCCTATAAGGTAAAAGTGATCCGAGCAACTACACTTTTACAAGTGGCGGGAGGGGTCCCTCCTCATCCCGCTACTGCCCACTGCCTTCCCGTGGCTCTCTCTCGTCCCATCAGGGAGCCCTGAAACAATGCCACCACCTCAGTCGTATTCACTGCGAAGAGAGGAAGGAATGGAAATCAGAAGTGGCAAAGGATTACGTCACTTCTGGTTTGTTGCTTACAGCTTGTGAGAGCATCTGATCAAACCGATCTTGGTTTGATCAGATGCTTTGAAGGGCAGAGGAGAGGTCTTCGGTCTAAATGACCCCAGATCTCTCCATTGAGAGGACCTGTCACGGCCCATGCTACCACATGGGTTGTTGTTCATCCCTTGTAATAGCAATAAAGTTAAAGCGTGACATGATAGGCATAACATCATCTTTAACCACCTCCCGTCCTGCTGTTGTATATAAACGGCAGCCGGACGGTGGCAGTGCAGGGTCGGGTGGCCGTTTATA